ATGGCACCCCTTCGTGCGCCACAGGGCGCTTCATTTCTTGTGTCGACTGCTTCCTCTTCGAAAAGCTTCTTGAGCTTCAGACTTGGACCCAATCCCGAAGCCGGAAACGGTGCACGCGGCGTAGGCCCCGTACTCTGAGTTTGGCGGGTGTTGTCAATGCTCGGGGTGAGAATAAATATATGTTTGGGTGCAACGAAGGCTAGAGCCTCGGCTACGGGTCTCAGACCCAAAAACTCTTTAGCAATTTCAGGAGTGGCAGTGCAGGACTGCAGGACACAAGCATTGACACTGGGAAGATGACTTAAACTTAGGATCAGGGTAGCATTGTGAGAGGTTGAACAGCTTTTCCTTGAATCCAGGCCTTGCCTTCAATTGAAGAAAGTTGGTGCCAGTACCCAGTTGTAGCGCAATGTTACAACTTGGGTCCTGGTGAGCCGGAATTAATCAAGAGCTCCGTGCTAGAGTCTAGAGTCTATTGGAGTGAAAACATGTCCTTTTACATTGGTGCGTATTAAACCGGGGAACCCTTCTCCAACAAGCCATGGGGAGAGGACAAACAGACCCAGACCCGTTGGTTGCGGAGTCTCCCTATTACAATAGACACCAGAGTGACATCTCAGACACGCTTGGTGGTTGACAGGGTTCACTTGGCATGTTCCAGGTCAACTGTGGGCGGCCTTTTCAATTTGAGATTTGTTTGCCAAGATCAAGACAGAAGCATTTTCTAATACCTGTTGTTTTGCACCCGTCATGAATAAAGTGGCAAAGTTCCATTTGTACACAGAGGTACCACAGCAGTGGCGCTTCAAAAGACTCCAGTCTGTAGCTCTAGTTTGAAAATGATCTCACTACAACTTGCAACGTGTGTGTTTGTACAGATCATGATGCGCTGACAACCAGGAGTGGCCTGAAGACAGTGCTTGTACAGTAATAAGGACTTCACTTGCAACTTAGGACCTTTAAAAGAAACTGCAGCTGTCTTGTGTTGTGAAATGATGCAGCTGGAAGCACCAGAGGTGCGGATACCATTCAGACAGGGATGGGCCATCCACCGCTCAAACGGACAGTTGAACTTTCCACAAAGACCTAGTTCGTCAGTTCTCCCGTCTTTGGGGGTGTTTGTCCTGGTCTGGATAGAGCAGCAGAAGTTCGGAACTGTCATGTCTTCTTTTTTGCAACTTCGATGAGAACTTTCGTTGGACATCACTAGGCCCTTGCATGTTTCTTGGGTCCAACTCCTGACCTCCCGCACCAGGCTTATCGCACTCAGTTGACAGCAGAGGGCCTCCGGGTCTTGCTGCCACAGGACACATGTGGGATGGGGTGTGGAAGGGGGTCATAGACGGCTTTTTGCTATTGATTGTGTGGTTGGTGGATTGATGGAGGGCCCCCGGTCGCGAACAGCCAATAGGATCCAATACGTACCAGGTCATGGATCCCTCCACTATCCCAAAAAGACATCATTGATATGAGTCCAGTATTGTGACCGATGTATGTACACCTCCAATCGTTGGGGCCGTGATCCGTCGCATTTTTGTGAGCCTTTGCAGCAAAAGAACTCAAGGGGTCCTGAGCCCGAGATCCTCAATTCAAAAAGATTCTAATATCTTTCTGACGGCCATTGTGAGTCTCAAGTCTGCAGTTTTTTTTGATTTAATTTTACCAATGAAGGTGTTGCTGACTTCTTCAGTTTGCATTTGCAACTACGCCTCAGGGGCTTATCTTCTTCTCGTCAACAAGTCATTTGACCTCTTGCACTGTCTTGCTTCCAGACTCAATCTCGACTTACATTGGCTTGACATGTCATAACCTGTTCCAGTCGTTGACAACGAATGGATGTAGTTCATGACGGTTCCTGATGATGCTGCTGGATGCTGCGTCCTCGCCGCAGGGACATGCAGTGAAGCAGAGTCCAGTGTCTTCTATTGCAACCATCCGAGAGGAGAACGTTGGGCTTTGTCATAACATGCTTGTAAGAGACCGGCAGGCCATCTGAAGCATTTGGACATGAGCCGTTCGAACGGAGTTGATTCATTTCATGTCCACGAACTTTTGGAGCTAGCTTCTTGATTCATGCGCCGTGCTGCAGGATGGTTCTTTCGACCTCACAGCCATTGCACAGAAGCTTTGCCATGACAGGTGGGCCACTCTCGAGCGTCGTCACGAGCGTCGTCTCGTCTTTACGTCGGTCCGCCGACCCACATTTGGCGGATTGAGGCGGATGGGCGCATTCAGTTGTTGAATGCAGGAGTAAACACTCCACCAGGGAGTGGCCGATAGTTCTTCAATGTTCTTCACCATGCGTTCACCGCCTTTGGACCTGCGGCCTGTCGCTGGCCTGTGGTTGGAGGCTGCGCCGCCTGGTGCTCTGGGAGGTCTTGGCGGTGTTCCTTCAGAGTCTCGTGGTCTTAAGCCTCGGCCTGGTCCGGAGCCCCGGAGCCATGGGACGGATCGGTTGAGGTGAAGACCAGACGGGTGGAGAGGTCGGCGGGGCAGCTGGTTTCCTGGGTTCATGCCATGGTTTTGGACCTGAAAGCCAGTCCCAACCCAGAAAACCAGTGGATAATAGTGGATGTGTTCACAAATCAAGACATTGTGATGTCATTAAAGGATCTCTCTCCATTGTCATATTGGAAGCAACCATATTTGTTTCTGGTTGGGACTGAGTTACCACGGAGAGATTTTTATTTGGTCTGGCAAGCTCCGAAGATAGAAGGTTCACACAGCCTTTGGCTCCAGAAAGCTCCATGGAGTATTTTCCTAAGTCATCTTGTTGGTGCTACGTGACTCACACACACAATTTAGATCCCTGCTTTGATGTAGTACAAGAGCCTTCTACAGCTTAACCTCGCTTTCGAACTTGGGAGCAAAGCTTTCCTCGAACGCTTGTTGGAGGTGGGGGCAGTATGGGCAGGCCAATCATACAGCTCAGGGTCCAAAACCATGGTGGATTGGCATCCCGATAGCCTATTTTCTTTGAACAATTTTGGTGGGGCACATGTGCCAGGCCATACATGACCTTCTTCGCAAGGGGTTTCTCCTTCGCAGGTGTTGCAAGAGTTGGAATTTGGCCTTCCAACTTGGCTCAGCTTGTTGGGAGAGGCTGCGGAACACCCTGCCTGGCGTTCGGTGGCTTGGCTGATGACCCGGGTGTTGCTGGAGCAAAGCGAGGAAAGCTCAAGCTTGCAGCAACTGCAATCTCTGTTTGCTGGTTTCTTCCTCTTGTAACCAAGTTTGCATGTGTTTCAGCAGCATTATTGGCTGGTCAAGAAGATTCAAAAAGGAATCTAAGAACGAGAGATGGGTGCAAAGAATGGTTTCAGTAGTAGGAGAGAGATACAACGCTCCTTTGCCCACGCCCTCTCCATCGCTGAGCAGTCTGAGGTTCCCTTTGCACTGTTGATTGTTCTGGCTCGTTTCTTGCAGCAAGTGGCAAAACACAGGCAAGGATCGAATCTCAAGGGGCCAGTAGTCACCTTCAGTGCAACGGCTGCAAAAGACGTCTACAGTAGTCACCTTGAATCGCTTTCAGTGTTGGTCATTTTCGCTTTGGAAAGGGTGGAATCCCGAGTCAATTCCTATTCTTTCTTCTGAGTCTTGTGGTTGTTCCTCGTTTTCAGGCGTGTAAAGATCGTGGAGCAGGCTCTGGGTTGATGAAAGCCATTGCAAACCACGCCCGTTGACCAGAGCAACGAAACTCTTCGCACAGTCTGGTCTGTGAGCTGCCATTAGGACATGAATCATTTGTGAGTTGTGATTGAAGAATCGTCAATCCTGTGTGGTATCATGATGTATCATGTAGACTCTTGATTAATACACCCCCCCATTTGAACTGAACATCCTCTCCAAAGGGGGGGTTCATTAATCAAGAGTCTACATTATTCGGCAACAATCTCTCTCTCTCTCTCTCTCTTCTTGGCCCTCTAGGCATCTTCTGCCCTGTGCGCCTTCCTCTTTCGGCGTGCCACGACCTCGGGTGCCGCCGCCGCCTGCAGCGTGGCGGAGCTGCTGAATGCTGTGCCGCGTTTGGTTGAGGCTACAGCGAAGGGCTCAAGGCCTGAAGGGCCAACAGAGCTGCACAAGTCCCTCGCCACGTGCGGATAGCTTCATGACTCATGAGACCAAGTCTTGGATCCACACCACTCTCCACAGTGTCTACTAAGTCTACTATTCTCATAATTGGTTTATATATATATATATTGTTATATTAGTCAAATCGATGTATACTGTATATGCATTATGCATGCACGTGACTCGTAAAGAGTCTCACTGGCAACGGTCAGGGTTCCAACTGAAAGGTCCCTAGAACACCAGACGAGATCCTTCCGGCATTTGCAGTTGACATTCTTGAAGGACATTCCGTACGATCCTTTTGGAGAACCGGAGAACTCACATTGCTTAATATACATATTTCTGAGAAGGAATGATTCAAGCCAGTATTCACTTCCATACATCCGATTTGGACAGAGTGTACCTTTCCGCTCGCAGTGTTCTAACAAACTTTACGTAAAGACGACGTGTCCATAGGCTTGGTCAAATTATATATCTTCTGCTGACATCTGCTAACATGATAGCAATATATAATTGAACATAATTGAACCATATTGAAACCCATCAGCATAGGGAATGAGAATCTGCCTGTTCCTTGATCAGCTACGATCGTCGTCAACTTCTGACTATTTGGAACCTAAAAACTTTGTCATCTAGTCGTACAAACTCTTGCTAACCGTTGTCAACGGTCCCAATGAACAGATCATGAAGTGACTTCTCTGGTTGAGACCACTTGAAGAGTGGCTGCTGGCAAATCCCCAAAAGTATCGGGCCCATGCCAGTTTATCTATCAATGATGACATGGCATATGCCTGGGCACTCAGTGTTGATCTTGCTACATGGCCTATTTGCTTAGGCTGTGGGAGAGGCCTCTGAGGATCAACTTAGCTGTAGATCTTCATGGAGAGACCTTACTGAGCCTTCAATTGGGGTTCTGAAGCAATGCTGGCATCTCCAAAGCATCCTCAAGAGAAACTGGTTGAATATTGATGGCTGTGTTCCTTGGCTTCTCTTGGGGTTTTGTTTCCTTCCAAGTCTTCAAACTTGGAATGACAGGTCTTATGGCATTATGGTTTTTATGGCGACTTAGCAATAGTAGCGGCCTCCAATGCACTGCATCTGAAGATTGCCGCAAAGAGCTCTCAATGGTGAATTGTTGAAGAGCACTGGAGGCCGCTACTAAAGTATCAAACATGAATTTTCAATGCGGCCTCTCAATGCGGCATTGAGCTCTCATGCGGCCTCTCAATTGTTCATGTGGAGTTTTCACTTTGCAATTCTTTCCTTCGATTCTTTTTGGAGTATCAATGGGGTCGATCTTCGAAGGGTAGTAATTTGAATTGAGTAGTCGGGCATTCAAGATCTATCCCAGTGAGTCGAAAGGGGCCAGAAGTTTTTCCAGGGTGTTTTTCGAGAATGTGCGTTCGCCCTCCGATTTCATCACCCATGTGTGTAGCCAGGAATCCTTCTAACACTTCGGGGTTGTCTTTTTCCCGAAGCACACACAAGCAAGTGTCCATTTGGATGGGCCACAAAAGCTTGTTCTTCAAGTCTTCTACGAAACTCTTCGTCTTCGTAGAAGAATAATGGAGTGGCGTCCACTCTTCTGCATGCTATCCCCTTTTTCGCAGACTTGCTTCTTCCTCTCCGAACCTTCATGACTTTGTTTCAGGAACACGTGGCCAGTGGCCAGTCGACGTGCATCAGGTTTCCACGTTTCGGAAAGCCCGGCAGCCCTTGTCAAAACCATGGAGCCTCCAGTGGCGGATGGATATCGTTTAAAGAGTCATCATTTTTACATCTCGGGATAAAGCCGGGCTTTGTGTTGATACAGATGTTCACTCAACTCTGGATCTTCGTATCCTCTTATATCTATTCTGAGGGGGATCGGTTTTCCAAGTTTGTACGCATCTGGATGACAATAGCAGGCCCGAGCAGGCATGTTTCGATCACTTCCAATACAGTCCCTGGACCTTTAAGGTGTCAAACACGGTGTCTTCAGTCTGCTCAGTCAATTGCCTTTCATGAACTTCGTGTCTTCAAACGGCCGCCGACGGATACTTCTTCAACGACTTGATGGCGTGAACCGTAATGTGTGGGCAATCGAAGTCAAAAATGCACAGTTTGGCGAACTGGAATCTCAAAAGAACATGCGCTCCAGTCCGTGTCCCCAATTCTCTTGGCATCATGACGGTTGCTTTGAAACAAGCGTCGTAAACGGTCAGAGAACCTGCTATCTTTCTTTACTTGTTTGCTTCCTCAATAATCGAAAGCCGGTTGTGCTGGATGTTCTGGAACAATCGCTGTGCCAGATTCTGAAATGAGAGGGGAGCGCTGTGAGCGGCGCGTTTTTCGATGAACATGAGCATTTTTCAACCTGTTTCATGCGTTTTCTTGAGAATGATTGATGTGTCTGACATTGCCTGGAAGGATCTGCCTGGAAGCACCCAGATGTTAATCAGTAAGATCGGTCAAGAAACCTACAGTGATTATGAAAAAAAGAACCAAAACTGGAATGATAGAATGCATGACTTTACAAGAAACTTAAATGATCACTTTAAACAACATAGAGCACTATATGCTGAAGAAAAAATGTAGCAAACAAGGAGAAGATAGAAGACCGCAGGGGCTTATGGAATGCCTATTCATCACCAAGTGGATTTTACAAAACAGGTATAACAGGTAAGACTTTATACATACGTGGCACAGGTGGTCGTGATGGATCTTTAACAAGGGATATTATGGATGATCTGTTATTAGTACCTACTAGAAATGTTCATCACAGTGAGAAATACAAACATGTTATAGAAGAATTGGAAAAGTCACCAGAAATAACCCGTTTGGTTGGACGTAGCCTTGCAAGTGCTGTAGTAAGATCAATCAAGAACAACCTAATAGATTTGCTACAACAACCTATGCTACCCCTACAATAAAAACAAAAAGGAAAGGAAATAACATCCCAAAAGACTTGACTACCGCAATCCATCCGATATTGTTTCAATTTTGGATGGTTACGCTGTATCTTCTGATTTGAAAGAACCTAACCCTTTAATGAGCCACAGCTATATCAATTTTGAAGGGAACGGCCTTTGGAACATCAATCCCGGCACCAATATAAGCAATGGATTTAGCCCTAATCACTCATTTAAAAAAAAAACATTTAAACTTAATTAACATATGCAATATTATGGTGGGTTACTCCAAGGCAGCGATGTCTATATTGGTGCTACTTGTCAGCCATTGAGTGTCAGAATGGCAGGACGTAGAAGGGGGCGGAATGGCAAAGATAAGAAACATTACAAATTGTTATCACACAATCACCCAAACATTCAATGCTGGTGGTGGTGAAATTAATATGAATATTGTAAAATCATCTTCTAAGCTGACTGGAGCATTCATTACCTTATTTAGAACTCCAAGAAGTGGTGAAGATCTGAACCGATACTTACCTGACAATTATGTATATAAGAGATGGAATTATTTTTACAATCCTATGATCTATGGAAGAATTAATGATACTGGTAATGCTGATACAAATGACTTACAAGGTAAAGGTTTTCAAGATGCCACCCGTAGTTTCAGTTGGCAAATTCAATTAAGCAATTCCCAGAAATACCCAGAATTTGAAGCGCAATCATTATCATAAACCTTTTACTATTTAGGAAGAGCTATACATTACATGAACCCAGATCAAGACAGTTTAAGTTTTTCGTATCGTCAATACAGAGAGAACAAATTCATTATTGGTATGTCATTTGAAAAGATGGCAGATGTCAATTTTGCTGGTTATAATTCTAAAATGTCAGGTTTTACCAATTTGAGTTAAAGGAGCAGAAGGAGCATTATTAGACCCTAATGAACAAATCACTGAGGTTTTTTGTCATTTGATTTCAGAGACTGTTCTGGAATTGAGGGAAAGTGGGAGTATTGTCTACTTCCAAGGAAATTGACAATTTTAAAATATCCCAGGACATCAAAAATCCAAAATTCCAATTTTCCAAAATTCCAAAAAAACAAAAGAACCAAAAAAAACAAAAAAAACAATTCTGCACAGACCATGGGGGGAAGAGGGGGTGAGGCAAAGTCCTGGCACAATTGTTTTTTTTTTTTGTTTTTATTGGAATTTTGGAAAATTAGAATTTTGGAAATTGCCTTTGGGGGAGGGGGGGGTTGAGGCAGAATAGGATTCTTTCAGTGGCACAAAAATCAATAGAAACACAATACAAATATAGAAACAAAATACAAACAAAATGAACCAATGCAAAAACGCGCCACTCAGAGCGCTCCTTTCTGTCTGAAATCTATCAACCTTCTTTGAGGTCAACTGCAGATGGACTGAAGTACTGTTGAACTGAAGGGATGAGACTCAGCTTCCACTAAATTTCTGCGAAAGTCGGCTCTTCCTCGATCTTCTCGAGTATCAAAGGCACTTCAGCTGGCTCACTCAGTTCTGTGAACTGAAGTCTACTGGTACCATTCACTGCAAATTCTCGGAGGGACACCTGGCACTGCGATATGTGGCTCCCCATGATTGCCAACTGTTCCAACGTGTCTGGTGCGAAGTCTTCATCCTCCGCATGCCTGACTAGGCCCTCCTCCTTCTATTTCATGTCTACTTCCACCTGTCAGGACATTGGTTGACTGTGCATAGCATTCTTGATTGCGCTGAGATCCACGACGCCACTGGTCATGGCCAACAGCTTCTTCTTGTCTTCATGACAGGTTACTTTGTTGCTTTGTGCTGTGCCATTGCCCACATCCTCAAAACTCTAAGCTGAGTCATTGGGCTTCTGTACTGTTCCATAGACGGCCTTCTCAAACGCCTCAAAGGTCAGTTCAGCATGGTCTTCCCAAGCGAGAGCTGAGCGCAAATGAGTGGCTCCCCTTTCAGGAAAAGCAACAAGTTCTGACTCGATCGTCCGGCGTCCCATGCCGTCCCATGGCGTTGAAGGACTTTTCCGATGCAGTGCCTACATACATCGGCTCTCTTGGGGCATATTCCATGAATTTACCCCTCCATGTCATCAACTGCTGGTTGAAAGTGGGGAGCAATGTCCAAATGGAAGATTTGTCCGAGGGACAAGAAGCTCCAGGCTTGACCTGTCGCATACCGCCACGTGGGCCTTTCTGCCATTGCCAGTGGGACTCCGCTGTGACTCATGAAGAGTTCCTCTGGCGGTCCGGTCCAACCGAAAGGTCCAATGAGGATCCTCAAGCGGCCAAGCTTCCAGTTTTGCCGGGAGGGCTGAAGAACCATGGGCTTTGAGCCACCAGTAGACCATGTTTTCACGCACACAAAGTGTTCGAATGGGTGCTATTTTGTTTAGTAATCACAGTGTTTGTCTCCAATCCTTTTCACCACACCCTTACCCAGCATTGTTTCAAGAAGAGGATCTCAATCTCGGAGTGAAATTATTTAGGAAAAACTCAATTTCCAGAGGAAATGCATTGTTTGGTTATTGTTCCTGAACATTTAGCATGTTAAAAGCAACGAAATGTTGTAACGCCAAACTTGAACACTTAAGATACTTAAGCAAGAACAAGCGGAACAAGTTTCTAAGCAAGACCATTTGAAGCAAGTAGACGCCTTGCAACGAACCCTATTCCCCCCAAACTCCAAGTGCAATCCCAAGCCAGGATTCAAGTTGATTCAAGATACAATATCGCAGGAACAATTTCTGGCATCCGGGGGCAGGCTGCAGATTGAAGGTTTGGGGTTCAACCCGGTAATAACTATGTTTAACTTTAAATGTAGAGTCTTTGTCAGCCGTGGGCAGGTGTTCCTTTATGCATGCTTTGCATATCGATAGGTAGACATTGGGGCCGGGGTCGCATATTCATCATCCTGTTTCCTTATCGTTCATATGCGATAAGGTGTCGCACATCGGGTTGTCTTTCCACAGTGCTCCTGTTTGCACAGGCTTCAACTTGCTGCACCGATGCTGGGTCTTTCCCTTGGCTTTGGCTTGCTGCTCATGACGCTTGGAGCCATGGCTCCGTTGCTGCTCCTTCTGCAGCTCCTGCTGCTGGGGCTGGAGGTCTGAGACTTGAAACGACACTCATATAACATAGTTTGCTATTAGGTTGGAGGCCATCGCTATTAGAAACAAAGAAACAAGACACGCTGCAAACTTGTCTGAAGTGACCCATTTGGCATGAAGTCTCTAGACGAGAGTCAAAACGCGAGTCAAACCCACGAGAGTCACTTGTTAGACTTGATTAGACTTGAAGACTCCAGGTTCGTGATTTTGCAGGGCATACGAGATCTTTTGAGTTACACTGGTTAATGATTACCTACTAAAAAAACCATAGGATCTAATACCCCCCTTGTGAGTTACACCTCTTAAGGATGACTGACAGATTTCCAGAGTACCACACTCTATCATGCTTCCTTTTGAATACAGACTTCTACCAGGGCTCTCGGTGATCTTTACAGAGGACTTTGATCTTGACGTGCGAGTTGGTATGCTTTCGAGGATGCCTACTTTCCAACGTTTTTGGTTTTATTTGGGTCAGCACTCAGCTCTTAACGGCTGTGCCTATCGGAGGTGCTTCTGCGCAAATTGACGCCCCGCTGGAAGCAAGAAGCTATGCACTTGCGAGAGCAGAGGGAGGCCCCCGGCAGCATGTTGTCGACAAGTGTCACGAAGACCTCGTTCCTTCGCAGTTCAGGTGGGTAACTATGTTTTTGTGATATATACACATATAGTAGTAATTAATACTACTGTAATCTACTGTATATATATATATATAATATCACGAAAGCCAGCCGATAGGCAAGGCTTGAGGTAGGGGAGCGAACGAAGTGAGTAAAGGGGGGGGGTGCCAATCTCGGAGAGGCTAACCCAGAGCCTGGTGGGAGAGAGCGAAAAAAAAGAGGTGGCCAGGAGGTAGTGAAAGTGAATAGTTTTTGGAGTGTTGTGATGCAAGTGATTGTAATTGACGGCGAAGAGTGCATCATCAGCATCATGAGGGGCTCAGAAGGCCATGTAAACTGTTTTTACTAGGGGTGGGAGTTCATGTCGATGAGAGGAAAGGGAGGACAAGGGACGCGACTTCCAGAAAAGGGAGATGTGTGTCTCTGGTGGCTCTTGAACTCGTGTTCGACTAGGTGTGAGAGGGAGGTGTGTGTGTGTGTCTCTTAAGACACTGTGCGGGCCGGAAGGGGAATAGAATGCTGGAAGACAGACATAGCGGAGGGGGATGGGTAGGAAAAGAGGGCTTGCAAGAAATCTTGGAGTTGCTTGGGGCTGCGACGCCATTGCAGTATAGCGGACAAGCTTTGCACTGCTTGGGGGCGCCCTCTTTTACTGGTGGAGAGGCCTAGTTGCCGGACTCAAGAGAGCACCCCATATGGGGTGGGAGTTCATGTGGATAAGACAGGCACAGCAGAGGACGAGTATTTTCTACCAAGCGTGTCGATGCAATAAGGCGCCCCATATAGTAGGGTGCGAGTGCATGTAATGATGCCATCTGTTGAGGGCAGGAGAGAGAAGAGATTGCACGGGCAAGCGTTGAATTGCTAGGGGGTGCTCGGTTTTTATAGTGAAGAGGCCTCGTTGCCAGACTCAAAGGGGCACCCCCTATGGGGTGGGAAGTCATGTGGATGAGGCAGGCGCAGCGGAGGCGGAAGGTTTTGAGTTGCTTCGGGGTGCCGTTTTTTACCGGTGGAGAGGCCTAGTTGCCGGACTGGGCACCCCACATGGGGTAGGAGTTCATACGGATGAAACAGGCACAGCGGAGGATGACCTGGACATGACCGGGTCCGATGGTGACGTTGACTTCGATCGGCGGGGTTGAGGTCTAATTTCCAAGACTTTATTGGTTTTATTTGGCTTTCATTAAGCCCACAACAATGATGTTTCAATTCAATTAAAACCACCAATTATCACATTTTTGACTTTGATTCATGCCGAGCTCCACCCCCCATGGACCAACACACCATACCAAACCTTCCCCGGACTACAGGGGTGCCCTTTTTCACCTCCACAACGCCCCTACATCAAGACGAAAAAGGGCACCCCTCCCAAACCTATGTATTCTACTTTCTATACCCTTTTTCAAGTGGCTGCAATATCAACTTCACCACTTCCAGCTACTCTTTGTCCACTCTAACTGTATACATATATGTATCTTCACGAAAGCCTGCCGATTGGCCCGCCCATGCGCCCCCCATCTTTGCTCACTGATTAGCAACACGCAGCAGACAAGCGCCCCTCACTTCCTTAGGGGTGCCCTTTTTCACCTCCAAACCGTCCCTGAACCAGGACGAAAAAGGGCACCCCCCCGAAACCTATGTATTCTACTTCTTGTTTCTACCCCCTATCGGGGTGGCTGCGATGTCAACTTCACCCCATAAAAGTACTCTTTGCCCGATGTTAGCCAATCACTTCATCTTGCACGCCACGTCTTTGAGTCCATCTACTGGAGATGAATAAAAACAGCAGGCAAGCGCCAGGCTCGCCCTAAGGGCACCCCCCTAACCCAGAGGCTGGCTTTCGTCCCCTCCCTTCTCAGGTACATATATATATATATATATATGTGTATACATGCACACACACACACGTTTGTTTGTAACTTCTAGCAGACTTCTTCCCAAGATCAGTGCAGGCAATGTCAGCTGCAGCTCTCGCCATGGAAATGGGTTGTGCCTCTGCGACAGACTCTCGCCTCAAAAGGCCATGCAGCTCGTCACCTGGAGTCTCACATCGCTCGGCTAGTCCACTCTTGTGGATGGATTCCAACTAATTGCTTCATCTGCCAGGCAACCATTGAGTTGTTGACACTTTCCAACTTCGCAAAGAAACGACATGCACATCGACCCATTGAAGACCATATTCATGTTGTCTTACGTCTTCAGTGTGGCTTCCGTGTTG